TGAAAAATGGAGGAAGAATGAGAGCATTCATAGTGTTTTAAGTTCAAAATATGCTCATGTATTAGAAAAATAGATCCAAATCTTTAAAAAACCAAAATATAATGCAAAGAAATTGGTCTCTAATTATCGTACCTCGACTAGAGTTAAGAATGATTGGATCTCTACTTGTGTTTCATACTCATTTTTCTTAGTGATGCATTATCTAAACTTGGTTCACTTCCACTTGCATTGAATTTTTTTTTTTTACACAAATTGTCCTTGAATCGGACCAGCACCATCACGAACGACCTGCTGTCTCAAGCTCCGCTGACCTGCAATACTTTCCCGTCAGAAAAACCTCTGATACTCAAGTCAGTATTCGTTCCTGAGAATATATGGAAATTGTATTCTTGTAAGTGTAAATATGCATTAATTGTAAAGTAAAACATGATCACCCTTTATATACCGGGATGTTTTGCTGTCAAAGTAGAGTCCTGACTAGAAAAAAAGTTCCCCATATCTACTTTCCTGGCTTATTACATCTCTAGGATCTTAGACTCCTTACGGGGTGTTTATATATAAAATATCTCAACTCATACTCAATCCATACGCAAAATATAACTCAACTTTAATTCAATTCCACTATCATCAATATTAGCAATATAATGAAATAATATCAATCAATAAATTTTACGCATTACATCAACTTTAATTCACTCTTTATCAACTCACATGATTTTAACTAACCATCTCTTTACTTCATCTCTCTCCTACTTTTACGTCAAACTAATTTTTATTTTTTTATTTTAAATATTATTTTAATATAAACTCAAAATCCACTAACAACTAACCATACCACTTTTTACATAATTAACCATGGTTAACTAAAAAAACTCGTTTTGAGTGGATATATTTGTATCCAATCACGCCCTTACCATGTTATACTATCCATCCTTAAAAGATTTTGTCCCCTCTTACCATACGACACTTAGGTCCTAGGTCGCCTAAACGACCTCGCAACCTACCTGCCACGGACTCTAACCAGGTTGTAACCACGACCTCTATCCTTACGACCTCCAGGTCATGAGGTCCCCTCGTCTATCTGATCTCCTGGCGGAGCCAAACCTCCAAGTATTCTTATCAAGTCTACTTGTACCCCAAGCTTCCTAAGCGAGCTGCTAAATGAGGTCAAACGTTGATATCAAGCATAAGCTCTCCTAGACCGGCCATACTCGAGATAACCACTCAGATCGGTCTACCAAGCTATTTTGGATGTTATATCATCTAGAATTTCAGAACGAGTTGTCTAGACTTGTACGGAATATCATTAATGTTATCGTTTGAACCTGTCACTTAAAACTAAAAAACCTCTCCACCATTTCTGAAACTCTCAAGCTTTTTCTGTGCAAAATATTTGCGATGATCATTCTCCCAACCTGCAATAGACTCCAGCAAATTCTTTAATCCTCCAACTCGCATCTTTTTCGCGATCAACTATGGGTATGTTCATTACCCTCTGATTTCTTCTTTCTCATCTTTTTATTTTATTTCTTCTTATTTTTTTTAATTTTTCGGGCTTTATTGAAAACATTCCGCCCTGCTCTTTTTTCTTTTTTTGCAAAATTTCCAATTTCGAAACAAAATGTTGTATTCCGACGAAACTGCCTCTTCCACCTCTTTTTCTCAAGCCTGACTTGACTCTATTGTAGATAACTAATAAAAACTTTGAACAGTCCACGTTCTAGCGATTCCTCTTAACTCCAAATGTTCCGACCAAGTCATCATGGTCGAGGGCGAAAAAGGCACTGTAGTACCCGACCTAGTCAAACTGTTTAAACCAAAGCCTTTGACCTCATACACAGACGACCAACTCATTTTTATTATCCACAAGTTCGAGCTTTCCCGATCTTGAGAGCTCCGAGCGCCGAAAATTGACGAATCTTTCGACCAGCCCCCTAAAGGCTTTTACTTGTTCTTTGTAGACCAAATCTATTACTTAACATGTTTCTCTATATCTTGCAGGCGCTATCTGCCCTGGCCGCTTTGCTGAATGAGGTGATGGCGGGCAAGACTACAACCTTCAAGGCCGCTCTGCGAAAAAGGAGCTTACGTATAGCGAGGCCGTCAATGTCAGCTTTGCGCACTACTGAATCGCCATAAGACTGACCTCAGATGACTTGGTGAAGAAAGACGTCCTAGCTGGCCCAACTCGTCGCCTCGATGACAGAACTTGAGGCACAGGCTCGCGAAGAAGGTCACGTCTTATTTCTAACCTCCGATATGGGGAAGAGCTTCGTGGAGCACTACACATTGGATCTCCTCAAGTTATATAAGCATTCTATGGAGTTCCTTCATTGGTTTCAGCCTGCAGCCAAACATTACTTTACCATTGCGACCGATCGGACCCGGGCACAGGATGAAGCGGGTGGTTACACTGGCGTGTGGGATGATGAAGCCCTATATATCATATTTTCACATTATATTATATGTATGTGTGTGTGTGTGTGACATGAACAGATATGTCAATGTCTGTGTCTTCTCATCAACATATGTATAAACTATATAATTACTCTCCAAAGTTAAATGCAGAATCTGGGTAGCCACATCTCTGCCCTCGAAATATCTCTCCGCAATTGATCTCTATAGTTATACACATATCGTCGAGTAGCGTTGTCTTTCGGGTTTTTTTCCTGGATCGCAACCAAATTTACTGTTGGTTTTTCCTGAGCAGCAGTCATATCAAGGACAATATCTTTAGATGAAGCGCTAAGCCCGCTCATTTGTCGATAACCCTCAGGATATATACAGTCAATGCATGATTATGCATTCCCCTATCACTAGCAGTACTTACACGGAGTACTTTCCCGACAAAAAAACCTCTGATACTCAAGTCGGTATTCGTTCCTGAGCATATATGAAAATTGTATGCTTGTAAGTGTAAATATGCATTAATTGTAAACTAAAACATGATCACCCTTCATATACCAGGATGTCTTGCTGTCAAAGTAGAGTCCTGACT